ATCCCCACATAAATTTTGGTTGTCTGAAGGGGAGAACTATGTCAGGTTCAGGTTAAAAAGTTTATTTTTTCATCAGTAGTGTTGGAATAACTGAAAAATTAAAAGATGAAGATGGAATGAATTTGAGAGACCAGTTCTTGAAAGAAATATGAGGATACACAACTAAATAGTTTTTAAGGTGATTATTTTCACCTTGCCACTTCAAAGATTCTAGAATAAGTTTCCACATGTTAAGTATTTTGTCAATACAGGAAAAATGAATATAACACAATCTGTTTTTCTAAGACAAAGAAGTGGTGATTGATTTTTGGATAACATTGTCTATGAAACTCCAACAAAAATACATCAAATAGGTTTCATTAAATCATAAGGAAAAGCTTTCAATTCATTCATTCATTTTTTTGAGTAGTTCACATGATAAAATTCTAGGAAAAATCCTAAGGTTCAAGGAATATTTTTAAATTATGCTATGCCACAAGTTGAAGATTTATGCCATAGGTTCAGGCAGCTTGGTAATTTCAGTTGTTTTTCAATATCAAACATCATCCAAGTTTATTGAATATTTTAGTCAGATGTAGGTCATTGTTAGATAATGAAAGTCTAGAAAATTTCACACTGAGAGATTTTTAATCAGTGTTTGAAAGGGCTGGAGAATTGGAGATGATTGGTATGGAGAAATTTTTCAATTTGAAAAGAAAGCAAAACATGAAGGATGTTTTCATATTTGTGTTTCTTCATTTTTATTAGTGCCTGTTTGGCTGGCTTTTGGGAATAAATTTCAGGAATTCTTGTTAGAGGTCCAGGAAATACACCAGTTAATTAGGGTATATCATACCCACTATCAAATTAGATACCTTCTTTATCTATTGTACCTTCCGATAAAAAAAATTGAAAAAGGACATGGTGAGCAGCCAGAAGTCATGGATATATGTTTTATCCTATTTGGTTGGACTATTAAGAAAAATTAGCTTTCCAAACAAATCATAGATGTCACCACACTTGACTTTAAAATAGATGAAATGGATTACATGTATATTTATATATTTGATTTGTAAAATGTTGCTAGGTTTCAGTTTAATGATCAGGACAATACATATATCTATCCATATATATAGATATAATCCACAGACCACACACACATATATATATATATATAATATTTTATTAGGAGGGTTCCCATTTTAAAAATATCAGCAAAATTTTCAAGTGAAACCAGCAGAGCCACTTGAGTTTGGACACTTATAATTGGCAGCCACATCAACCATTTTTCAAGTTTTTTGAAACCATAAAGCAGAAATTTTGTCTAAAATAAAGTGGATTTTATGCAAGTGTGAACCATCCTATCATATGTATAATTAAGTATATATATATAGGAAATTAACAGATCTATCTGTTCAAAAGACTCTCCAGGGGATAAGATAAGATATTTTGTGATAACTGAAAGATCTGAAGCTTCCAGATATTGATCAATGGGAGATGTCGTGATTTTAATAAAAAATTGCTTTTTCCAGGCTATTTATTGTCATCATTTTGTCTGAAATTTATAAAATAGAGCTCAATTTTTTGAAAAAAATGTCTGATCAGATATAATTAATTTCACTTATTTGAAGGGTGGCTGGTACATTGAATTGGAAATCCTGGGGAGTAATGATTAATGTACTTGCTCCCCAAGATATGTCACCAGGCATTTTGCCTATTGTAGTCAGCTGTCAGAATGCTGGAAAGTTTGTGGGGAATACTGGAAATTGTGTGGGGCATTAGGATTGAGGGGTTTGATGCCCAAGGTCTAGGGAGATTTATGCAATATTAGAGCTTCAAACCTTGAATATTAGTAAAAATTGGTAAAAATTGGCTGGAAAATTGAATATTCAGAATTAGGTTAGTTGGGGGATGTTGGCTTGAAGAAATGAGACATGGAGGTCAACAGTTATTCAATATGAACTCTTGAACAAAAGAGTATTTGATTATGGTGGTTGAGTAGCCACAATGGGATGAGAGCAGCTTAATAATCAGCTATAGCTAGATTAATAGATTGACCATGTGGATCATGAAAACAAATTTCAAAGATTCAAGGTTATTTGAGGCAAGGACATTTTAAAATTAAAACAAGAGTACAAAGAACATCAAACATAGCGGGGTAAAAGGTGAATAGTTATAGGCAAGTGTACAGGATGAAACAAACATAAAGAGAGATTTATTTCTAGCACTTCTCATCAAATTAGCCAATTTTTTCTCAACCTCAACATGTCCAAATCCCCCCCTTTTTTTCTTTTTTCCTAATCCATAATACATGACATGAAAATGGGAAATTTCTATTGAGTGTACCAACTTGGGGAAATGATTTTTTTATGACCATCAATGAAGTGTAGATGGATTATAAAGTAGCTGTTGCCATGCTTGTTGAATTTCATATCTCAAACTATATTCTTTGTTTAGTTTTTTGCAAACCCTCCTCATCTGGCATCATCATCATAAACATGGACCATCTTTGATAGATTTTAATTCCTAGGTTAAAAAGCAGAGAAACATGTCACTTAAAAAGAAGAGATCAATTGGAAGGCTATATATAAATCAGAGGAATAACAGAAATAAGAGAATATAATAATAAATTGTACTATTTAGCAGTTGATCTTTGGTTTTTACACAAGGTTGCATGTTGTATGACTTCTTGGCTTTGTCCTTTTCAATCAAGAGCAACATTAGCTAGTTTTTTGTTAATTTGAAAAGAGCAGCCAAAGTGGGTCCAGGACCGATTATGTGGTTGGGGAAGAAAAGGAGGAGTTTTGGTTGTGCGGTGTTCAAACTGAGTGGTTTGCCAAACTAGCTCTACAATACCATTCGAATGTACAAAGTCAATGAGATAAGGGTGTCTAGGAAATAAAAATCCATGTCCCTCCTTATTGTGGGGTGGAGGGATTGGTTCACCTGTGGTTCTATCTATGAATGAAAATATACCGTAGGTCCAGCCGTTGAGATCACCCTCATCTTGATGAGCTTTGTTGTAAAAATTGTCGAATGTGACTGAGACATTTGAGGCAAACTTATACTCCACATCCTCCTCCTTCCTCATTTCTGACCATTCCTCCTGACTCCAATTGGGGATTCCGTAGTCACACATGATGGATTGGTTTTCTTGATAGGCGCTAGAACAGAGGGATTCCATACGGCGGGCAAGAAAATCGTTGTGAGATTGGAGCTTCTCCCAAAGCTGGTCGTCCTTAGCCTCTTCTTCAGGTGTTAAGTCATTCCGTACATATGTTCCTGCAGGAATGCATCAGTGAATTGTTGGGTGTACTTGAATTTGAAGGAGTTGAAGTTACGTACCACCTCTTTTACCCCTATCAGAAGCACAACGAAAGCCAATCATACGCATCTCTCCGCCCAAACGTTTTGTATTCATTGTGTTCGTGGGCCTATTTTGGGCCATTTGATAGAGGGTTTTGATGACATTGGAGAGTTCTTGAAACTCATGTGTCGGAGGTTTTATGTCGAATGGATGACGTTCGAGGATAAAATGAGGGACACCGCCTGAACTCGTGACAAGGTTGCGAGGGCGGTTCAAGTTAGGTAGAATCTGAATGGGTTTATCGGAGTTTATTTTTTTCAAAGAAATCGAGGTTGGAAGTATCCAAACATTATCATCGCATCCCAACTTCTTTTGTAATCTAGCAATCTTCTTGGCGGTTCCTGAGGCATGCTTAGGCGGCGGATTTCTTGACTTTGGGGCTTCCGGATTTTCTGATGAACGGATTGACGACGAAACCACACTTGACCCCTTATAATCCTGGTGGTCGAGGGCCATACACCCATTGAGCAGACCAGGATCACCCAGGGCCAAGGGGCTTGGAGGCGGATGGGTTGATGATTGTGAAACAGCCGGAGGAAAGACCACTCTTCTCCCTTTAAATTCCTGGTGATCAAGGGCCATGCGCCCACTGAGAGCACCAGGTTTACCCGGGGAGAAGGGGCCCATCCTTTGCTGAGCTCGGAGTTGGCTTTGTCGCTTGGTTCTTGTCATTGAGTTTTGGCCAAGCGTATAGAGAATCCCTTGCAAGAAGTTTTATCGGATAGTAGAGGAATAAACTGTTAAAGATTTGGTCAGTATCTAGTCAAAGATATTACTTCATATCTCACAATTGGGACAGGTAAAGTTTAATGGGCAATTACCTAAGCACACTCCAGCACAAGATCCAAGTTAGGTGCGAGAATATTTTCAAGTTGATCTGAATGTGGGACATCCAGATAGAAAGGAGCTATGATAAGCAACCCAAAGTAGGAAGCAATCAAAAGGTTAAAATCTTTGAAGAAGACATAACATACCACGCGTTGTTTGTTTTACTGTAGGTTGGGCTGAAGGTTAAACGGTTGGGGAAACCTAGACAAATATTTTGTTTGATTATGATTGAGCAAATGTGTCTCTGGAAAAATGGAAGATTGCGGGCTTACGAATGGATTTACAAGATTTTATTCTGGTAAACCGTTACTATAAATCTGGTGAACAAAGTGGCTAGGCAGAATGAGATGATCAAATCATAGTTCAGTTAAGCAAATTCAGTTTGCCGGGAGTGTTGACAGGAACTGGGGATGAGAGGGGTTCTATAGCAAATGGACAGTTTAGAATCGTGAAACTCACCTAGTGTCGGTTTTATTCTCCTGAATTATATGGAAGGAGAGGATTGTTGAGGACCATGGTTAATGGTTTTGCAAGAAGAATCGTTCGGGTGGTAAATGATATGTAAAAGGATCACATACAATTTGTTGACCGTTCACTCCTGACAAGGTTGACATCAAAGATGTTAAAGTTCATTAGAAGATTAAAAGGAGAAGAATAAAACATCAATGGATTTGTTGTGAAGATGGTTGGAGAGTGTAGGCAGTAAAAGAGAAAGGTTTGTTCAACTTACGAGTTAGAAACGACTTGTATATTCGCTTAACAACAAACGATTGAACGATCAATAAGAATTTTGAGTAGATGAATTGGAAATCGAATAGGCTATGCGTCTAGAAGCCGAGAAGGTATCCTCAATTGATATAAGTTCAGGAATCAAGATAATGTGACTGATGACTCACTGGGTGTTGTGGTGATAAAAGCCTGTGTGATACAATCAAACGATTAACGGAATCGCCTCGCAATATGAATCGAATAACGATCTAAATGGAATTCCGATTCAAAACAAGCAAAAGCGATTGAAAGCGAGGAGAACGAACCGATTAAATGAGCAAGAAGACCTGAAGGAAAACCCCCGGAAACAATTGGTGGAATCTAGCGATCTTCTACAAGAGAATGAATCGAATGTTAGACTACTTGGAAGGAAGGGAAGGGGGTGAAGTGTGATGAGAGATGAGAAACGACTTACTTGGTTTGAGGGTATTGAGGGGAAAGTCCGAAACGATGTGGAGGTTAGTTTGTGAGATGAGTGACTTAGATCTATTTGAAAAGCAATCTCTTGAAAGGAAGTGAGGTAGTGGGAGGGTGCACTAGATGGCTAAGAGAATGATATAAAGAAAGGCAGCTTACCAGCGATGAGATTTCGATCGGAATTCAAGTTGAGACAATGCTGAATACAGGAAGTCGCAGTTTTGGAGGGAAAAAACGGGGAGGACTTTCACAAAGTAGTTAGACCCTCTGGGAAATGCAAAAGGAGGCCAATGGTGACATGTGTAAAATTTGCCTCTCACCGCTGTGCCACAGTAATTACACATCACCCTTCCCAACTCAATAATTTCACATATTCTTTTCTACATAATAATTTATGAGCTTTGTCAGGTGTAGCAGCAAAACTATTTTTTTTTCCAATCAGGACAAGTTAATTTGAAGGATTGGAATGAGGTGGCCATGGTCCCATTAGTAAATTGATGGGTAAATAATGATAATTATTTTCTATTTATCATTCTTAGTTGGGTATGTGAATTCAGATCTAATATATTTTGATCATATATAAACCTGGGTGTAGGAACTCTAATTGTGCAGGGAACTAAGATGACTATTCAATGCTAGCAATGCAAAATTGAAGGTAAAATAATTCCTGTAGACAAGCAAAGTAGGTTGGGTTTGAGAAATGACTGATGGCCAGATTGAACACCATTGAGGGGGTCAAATTATTTGGAAAGAAAGATGTAATATTGGAAAGTAAACAATTTTGGACAGTGGTAAAAGGGTGTATTGACTGCAGGGGGACAGGATAGTATGAAGGGTCAAGTTAGCATACCATCAGTTGTCTGGGAGTATTCAAGGAAATTTTGAGTAAAGACAAAGTCCCAGAAGTATCAATCCCCCTGAACAGTAATGAAGATCAGCTGAAGTGGACACATAATAATGATGTGGGTTAACAATCTCCCTGACGTGGCCTTTTTTTTGGCAGGCAGGTAGGCATTATCAAAGATGGTCAAGATGGGTAAGAAAAATGGAGGTTAGAAACTCAAATGTCAGTCCAGTTGGTTAAGTTTACACTCTTGATATACAAAATGTGAGGAGAGGGAGGTGAGGTTTGATTTTTATGAAGGTCAAGTTAAGAGCTGAAGATTGCAGAATATTTAAAATGTATTGAATTTGATAGGGGTAAATTAATTATTTGAGGACTTTGATTTTGGTGCTCTTGTATGTTCTGTTACGAATGACCCATAGGTGGGAACAGTTGAGGAAGTATTTGATTATGTCCAACAATTGGCCCAATCATATCTATTATCAAACTATGATGAAAATTAATTTTTTACGTTGGCTGCCACCCACAGAAACCACCCATCATCAAGGATGGATATACAAATAGGAGTATTGGTTTCATTTGTAGGAAGACAAATTAAAAATTCAGATCCACTAGTATCATATCAAGAATCTATCCTCTCATCAAAAAATTCATAACTCTAAATTATATAGAAATTTAGAACCACTAAGTATATAAACCCTCCTTCTGCCAAATTAAGCCCGGCGGGCTTAAATATGTCGAAAAATAAGAAACCCTTTGTTGGAATGTTTGAATGGTAAATGCCAAATAATGTTCAAAATTTTAAATAAAAATGCGTAATAAAATCACATTAAACATCCTAAATTGAAAGGAAAAATTGGCCTATCTGTTCCTGTTAAGTGAACCCCCACCGTCCAGTATTGAAGAAAAGTGGGGGGTAACCACGAATCGTGGAAGATTCAACTTATACAAGGGGTATGAATATGTGTATTGATGGTACAAGAATAGAATTACATGCAATTAATCAGAGGGATGGAATCAACATTTGATTAGAGAAGTGCTTTGATTCAGTGATTCTCGAACTATTTTTTTGAAATTTTTGGCTAAGCCCACTG